CATAGAAGAGTCAAAAAAGAAACATTCTGAAAGGGAGCAGTTATTCTAACCAGTTGGAGGTGACGATTTATCAAGAACCATTCATCCGCTGCCACATAAAGTGCCTCTAGGGTGTTCATTTTCCATCTTGGTGAGAGTCACAGTTTGGTTTAGGGCAGTTTTTTTCACATGAATTAAACAGAAGTTTGAGGAAATGTGTGCATTTTAAGAAGCAATCATCCAGTCTGCTGGTATATAAGACACACTGTGTGTGTAAACTGTCTAGGCAATTCTGGAGCTTCATATAAATGATTGAATTACTATTTTTTAACAAATGAAAACAACCTACTGTCATTTATAAGAAGGAAGGAAAATGATTTACTCAGTTAATATCTAAGTTAAATTGCACATTTTTAGTGTGTAAAATGGAATTCAGGTAGTTATTCTACACTGACTGAATGTTCGGTTGATTAACCACAACTGGAAACAAGCATTTTAAGCAAAAATTACCACATTTTCATGAAAACCTCAGTTCGGCCACTTATTAGCTGTGTGACACTTCGGACAAGTTACTTATCCTTTGTTACCAGAGCCTCAGGTTCCTTCTATTTTAAACAGAGCTAATAATAACAACAACAACAACTTTGGGCATTCACACACATATATAAGCTTGGCACATGTTAACCAGTCATTAGATATGATCTTGATGCTCACCTTGCCCCTGGGATTGAGATAATTATACTTTTTCCTATTTCCTAACCAAAGAATAAACCCAGGACCAAAATATGTAGGTCCCAATAGTTAAGTGCCCTCATAGAAGGAGAATTTCTACCCAAATATATACTGTCACCCATCCATTTACATCCTCATATCTCCCCCTTGATGTTTAATTCTATTTTTTGGATTTATTACCTTATGCTGAGCATTGCCTTCTCCCTAAAGAAGTCCCTGAAATAAATGCAAATGGTCCAGGAAAGGATAATTAACACCATTATCACTTTATGAGAATGAGTTTCTGTGATTTTTCTCCCAGATGGAATGTGCTACGTACTAATACTTTGTATCTGAGAAAGGACAAAATCGCTCGGAGAGAGGAATGAAAGGCATAGGTAAATTGTACAATTCTGCTTGAGTAAGCTTCGTCAATTCATCATTTACTGGGTGCTAAAACCTCTGGAAGGAAACCCAAGAAAATGGTATTAGTAGTTGCCTCTAAGGAAGGGACCTATATGGGATGAGATTTACTTTTACTGCATATTCTCCTACACCTTTAGAATTTGGTACTTCAGGCATGTATAATCTACCCCAAAATTTTTATTTTTCTTTAAATTCAATCCTCACACCCTGTCACTTGTCTTACTTTGGCTTTTAGATTTTGGACAGGACTTTGACATTTAGAAGTTGACCTTATTTTCCCTCTAAAAAGTAAGGCACATTTATTTAAATTGATTGACTTTTGAAAGCTAGTTTATTTGTTGTCAAATTATCAAACATATAAAATATTCATATTCCTGAAGACACAGTTATTAGACAGTTAACATTATTTGCTGACTTTATGTTTTCTTCACTGAAACTTAAGCTTCCTGCAGACAGGGACTGTGTTTTATCAGTCTTTGGAGGCTCCATTTGAGCTTTCATAGAAGGGTTACTTTCCTGAATTGAGTTCTCAGTCTTTTCTTCTAAGGAAGAAAAGCCACTAAATATAACATGATGCTTTGATAAAGAAGAAACGTCTTCAGATTTTTACAAAAACAAGCAAAACAAGAGACAAATACAGGAAAAGGAAGATAAAGAGAAAAAGTTATAAATCACTGATACTTGTAATGAAACTTTCAGGACTCTACTGATTAGGAATGCTTGCAAAACATCAAATATGTCATAAGCAGGGGAAACTAATTTGACCCAGAATCATGGACACATTTTTTCAATAAAATATTTGCTGCATGACTATTACATACAAAGTCTTGGGGATAAAATGTTGAACAATGCAGACATGATCCCTGCCTTCACAGTATTCATAATAGTGGGGAATACAGAAAGGTAAAATAGGCAATTACCACATGGTATGATAAATACCAGAAAAAGGTGTACAAAATGTTATAGGTGCTCATAAAAAGACTATCAATCCTATGCTTGGGAAAGTAATGTCTAATATCACAGTGGTTGGAACTAGAGCTTCAGAGTCCTGCAAACCTGAGTTTAAATTCCTGTTTCACTCTATAACCTTGGCCAATGTATATATCTCTCTAAGCTGCAGTTTCATACATTTTAAAATAAATAAAAATAATGATAGTATTGAGCTCAAAGAGTTGATGCAGGCATTCAAAGAAATGTATGTCATAAATCTGGCACAAGTCTGCCAAATGGCAAGCCCCCAATAAAGTTCAGCTACTACTGTTAATGATAACAGTAAGTTGTGAACTGAAGCAAGAGTAGGAACATCTACACAAAATGGAGGAGAAGAAGGAGATACAGTGTCCCAGGAAAAGGAGAAATGAACGCCTAGAAAAGCAATAGCATGGTGAGCTTGATGGAAAGACCTGGCTTGAGCCAAATGTTGGGAGGTGGCTGGCATGGAGTCAAAGCTGCAGCTGAAGTTGGAAAGACAAGCAGAGCACAGGTCAATGGGTGTTCTAAGCGAGGAAGGACAGGATCACATCTGAGATTTAGACAGACCATCTTGACCACAGTGTGGAGAAAGAAACAGAGTGAGGAGACAGGAGGCAGAGATCAGTGATGATAATTTTAAAATAATGCCTTGGTTGTTGTGGAATTTCATAGTTAGGGAGGCAGGTGCCATGTGAAAAAATACATATAACAACTGGACAAGGGCCTTGAAGAACTTAATATCTGCTTATTGGTATTAGCTAATTAGCATCTCATGCATTTATTTGTTTATTCATTCAGCAAGCATCTATTAACACCAACTAAGGCAGCAAAGTGGTGCTGTGAGAGATTTCAGTGTCAGTTACTCTGCATGGCCCCACTTTCCAGAAGCATCCCATCTAACACAACCACGCCTATTCCTCTCTCTGGCTGGAAGGTGTGTTACTCTGGATGTTGATTTTGGCAAGGCATTTCGGAGAAAGATCACACACCAGCCGAAAATCAATCTGGGAGGCAGTGCTTCGTAGTAGATTACAATGGATCCTCAAGTGTAAAGACGACTCCCCTTCACTCTGGGAAGCGGAACTGCCACTGGAACTACATCAGTATAGCAGACTTCTTACTGCTCAAGAAGGAGTAAATCTTCCATGTAACAACCAGCATTCATGAAATGTCCTGTCCTATAAATTTCAGATGAATTAGTAAATTTACTACAACTCTATCAACTAGGTATTATTATGTCTACTTTACAGGTGAGAAAAATGCAGCAAGAGACATTCCCCAAGGTTATAGAACTAGAGCCAGTCTGATCTTATCCACTAAACTATGTAGTCTCTGGCAGTGAGCCACCAGGCTGATACAGGAGTGAAGCCAATTCAAAATGTATGCTTCAAAATCAGGAGAGAAAGATCACTTGCCCACTTAGTATCAGGAAGGCCCAAATTTGGAAGGTTTTATTATAGGAATAAAATGAAATGTTGATTAAATATGCAAGTCTCGTAACAGTAAACTGGACTGCCCTCAACAAATAAGTACCATTTTTGAAACGGTTTTTGAAATGTTTTACTCTTTGAAGCACAAACCACATCTCTGCCATATGGCCTAGTACACATTAGGAAGTATTCAAATGGGGTTACATGCTTATCAGTTAAAACAGAGTGGGTCATCTCACAGACTTAGAGCTTGAGAGGTGTGGGAAAGGAAATATAAAAGGGCTAAAAGAACGAGACCTGTTACTCTTGGTTTTCTGCTAAGGTAGCATGAAAAAAGCTGATTATCTCAGTGAGAAACAAATGAAATACACGTATTCTCAAAGACTACATAAGGTTCTATCAACCAAGTAGTGAAGCATGTGTACAATAAGCATATTTTAACCCTAGGTTCTATGAGGCATTTCCAAGATTAACTAAATAAAGACAAAATAGGGGGAAGAAATCCCTAACCCTCAAGATATGCTAAAAATCACCAGCTTCTTGCAAAATCACTTAATGCTAATAGCCTGGGCTCTTGGTAATAAGAAGACTCCCAGGCCAGATGGCGTTTTAAAATCCAATATCACTCTGTCACACTCACTTTAAACTTTGTGTTTAAAGCAATCACAGCCATTTCACAAGCCACAATGTCTTAAAGTAGTCACTACCCCTTAAGAACAAAAAAGTTCTAATTGCTATGAGCTTTAAAACATAGTGAATAAAAATTATGGAATTTGTGAAACAGCTATTTCTAATTAAACACACAGACACAAACGCACGCTGCTCAACACCCTACAGTGAATGAGTACAGCTTTTCAAACCTGGCCTATTCACGCTCACAGTCACCATAGCTCAGCAACCAGCCACTCTCCTTTCATTCACCGGCCAGCCTCTTTCTGAGGGTCTCACTCGCCACCACTGAAAGTAACTCCGGACGCCCTAAGTTTGTGAGCACCGACACCCCGTTAATTCACCTGGCCCGCGCTGCTCTGAGCTCCCGGCAGGACGCGGGGACCTCAGAGCCACCGACTGGCGCGGCCCCCTGGAGTCCTCGCCCCGCCCCCGCCTGCGGGGAGGCAACCCTCCCTGCCCCCGCTCCCCGGGAAACACGCGGAGTTGCTTTATCTTAGCTACTGTTTAATCGTTACAAATGAAACGCCCGTGAGATGGAGTCCCCGCCACACCCACCTGCCGGAGTCCGCGCAGCCACCTCAGTCGGGTCGTCCGGAAGACGCCCAGCTGCGCGGAGAGCCGGGAGGCGTGAACGATGAACTTAGCTCTCTTGGACTGTCACACGCACACACCCCTCTCCCCAAACGGGAAGTTTCGAGCTAGCCCAGGGGCCGGTTCCGCGACTCCCGCGGCAACTCGGGCGCCGGCGGCGGGGGAGGGCCCGGCGCGCATCCCCGGCCGCGCCCCTCGCGTCGCCGGGCGGGCAGTTACCTCCTTCCTCCGGCTCGGCGCTCCGGGCCGTGTGATGAGCGCCGTCTCCTCGCACACCACGGCCACGTCCTCCACGAACACGCAGTCCGGGAGGCTCTCGTCGGCCGGCAGCTTCACCACCTGCAACCCCAGCTTACTGCCCAGCACGCCCACGTAGAGCTGGTGCTGCCGCTCGGCGCGGGCGAAATCCACCTCGTCGCCCTTGGCGCGCCTCAGCGCGTGCTGGCCGAGGGACTCGGGCAGCGCCCGCACCACGGCGTGGGTGGCCCGGCCGAAGGCGGCGGGGTGGCTGAGCGCGGCCATGGCTCCGGGAGGCGGCGGGGCGCGGCGGCCGGGTCCTCCGGCGGGCAGCGCGCACCGAGCCTGCGAGCGCCCGGCGGCTCCCCTTGGCAGCCGGTGAATGTGGTGCAGACGGAGCCCTGCTCGCGCCCGGAGCCCTGCCCGCGCGACTGAGCATGCCCAGAGCTCGGGGCGCCGGCCCGCGCGCGGCCCGCGCGCCCACCCCGGCGCTCTCGGGTTTTGCGGCAGCCCGGCGGGAGGTGCAGCGGTGAGGGCGAGAGGTGTGCGCAGGTGGGGGACCTCGGCGCACCCGGACCTGACGTTACCTGTTTTCCGCTGCAGGAGCAGCCCCACCTCGCCCCCAGGGCGGACTAGGGGAGCGGGCAGAGGTCTGGGCAGAACAGGCAAAGGATGGGATGATCCTTTGTAGATAAATACTTGGACCTCTCACCCAATTCCCCTGTTCCCAGGTTGCCCAGCACGTGGTACCAACCCCCAGTTCCTAGTGTGAAAATCTGTCACACCCAAGTCCCGTTACCTTGACTTTCTCAGCAAATGACCCTCCCATCCTATGTGAGACTAGATTATAAAACGAATGCATTTTTTCCCCATCTGTGAGAAAGAGAAGAGTCATATACAGATGAAACACATAGAGAAAAATAGACACATGTAAACTCACAGTATTTCAAAGACAGTTTTCACGAACAACACGATTCTGGTGTGTTTGTCTACAGAGCCCACAGAGGTGGGGAGGCAAAGGCCAAGAGGTGTTTCCTCACTGTAGATGTGCACTCACCTTGCGCAGTGTCAGACGGGCAGCATCACAACTCTTTGTCATTGGGTAAGAGGGCTCCCAGCCTCTCCCTGGCCTTCCCCTCAAGTCTGTACAGATGTTATGGAATTCTGTGGTATGCGCTGATCTTTCTCCTTCCATACCTCTCAGGAAATGCCTTCCCTTCCTAATGCTACTAAGCTTCTATTTTTTCCCTTTCATGTATGCAGATTAAATAGCCTGTGGGTTCTCTTTCTAAGGGAAAGATTCACTTCAAAAACCAGATTCACTTCAAATAATCTTGAGTAATAATCTTCTTTCCTCACATTCTGTAGCATATTTCTAACTTAAAGATTGATTGATTATAGAATATTTTATGTGTACGGGACCTGATTTGAATACAACTTCTCATCTAGCTTCCCACCAATGCTCTTGAATTCCAGCTATGATGGTCATTCCATCTTTACTTGAACATTTTTAAAGCTCAGTTACTTAAAAAGTGTATTCCACTTTTGAAGAGATTTAATGGTTAAAATGTTCTTCATTTTAGGCTTAAATCTGCTGGTCCCAGTTATATCTTCTGGCATTACCTATCATGCTAGTCTTCTCTCACAAGACAGCATTTCCCTTTCTGGAACGGTTCTTACATCTATGCTGCTTGGCACCACCCTTCCACCCACTATCCTTACCCCCTCCAGGCCTGAGTTTGAACCATCAAAAAGTAACCAATGATTTGTTTTCTAAGTCCCTTGGACATTCTTGTCATCTTCCTTTTGTACACAGCAGTTTGCCTCTTTCCTTTTAAACCATAGCATCCAGAATAGAAACAGTCCGTCCTGTGTGGTCTGACCAATGCTGATAACAGCAGGACCCTTGTTCCAGATCATAGGCTTCTATGCATATTTCCTAAGACTGTATTTGCTTTTCTGGTTTCTCCAGTACCAAGGCCAGGCCATAGTCTTCTTGCTAGAACTGTGATCTCAGCTTTTAGAAAATGTGGATTTCTAGGAGATCCAAGGATACTGGAACAGCTATCCTAACTAAGCCCAAAGAAAATGTGATCCACCTGCTCCCCCTCTCTCAAGAATTATTTGAGTATACTCAGATGACATAGCATTTCTCAGCTTCAAAAAAGAGGGGTCTTAAGTGAAGAACACCTCTGACCCTGACACTGAGAGGTGGAACCAAAAGTAAAATAACAAACCTTTAAGACCTAATAGGTTCTACTTCTGAAACAAAACTTTCAGGGGACCCAAGTTGCCCTATTGGTCCCAACTCCATGTCAGAAATCAGTTAATGGTATACCCAGACAGGATTCCCACCAATGCTGAAGGTAAAATCTAACCATGTGCTGAGCTTTCCTGAAATAGGAGATTTTGTTCCCATCTTTACCCAACACTAAGACTCCATCCACCTCCAACTGGCCTGTATCTAACGGCCTTAATTCATGTCTATGCCTTGTTAGATCCTGAATACTTTGCCTGTCACTCAGTGCCCTTAGTCTAACTGTGAACAGGGTCCTATGTACCACTCTGGGTTCATGTCAACCCAGCAGTCAATTAAAACCTGAAAGTTCTTTCTTAGAAATTGTTATTAGCCATATCTTCCATACTGAAATTGGGGTATGAAATTTTTTAAATCTAATTTTGTTGATATCCCTATTAAATGTTACCTGCTTCATTCCAACTTGCCTAGTTTTGATTCTGTCATCTCATGCATTATTTATTACCTCTAGTTTTGTGTCATCTGAAACTTGATAAGCATGCCTTCTGTCTCCTCTAAGCAGTCATTGAAAAGTGTTAGAAAGTGTGTATTGACGGAAAGAACAATAAAAATACCAATTCCAGTAAATTAGAGTTTACATTCCTTTCTGCTTGAGCAATGAAGGATCATTTTTAGGAAAATAGACTTTATTGAGCCTAATACATTTATAAATTCATTTTCCCCACAAATATTTATTGAAAACTCTCAAAGCACACTACTATGTTATGTATTTCAGAGTCATTCAAGAAGTATAAAAACATGATCCTTGAACCTGAAGAGCTCACAATCTCAGTGGTGAAATAAGACATCCAAAATTGGAGCTATGGACACATGAGAAGTATAGACAACAAAATGCTACAGGGAGTTGAGGGAAAAAAGATTTCACTGTGGCTGATGGGAGTGGAAGAGAGATGCTTGAAGGTAATTGGACCCAGCTTAGGCCTTGAATAATTTTTAGAATGTGAATAATTGGAAGGAGAGAAACGAGAATTCTAAGGAAAACTATGTGCAAAAGACAGCTGCTGCATGTTCAAGAGACTATAAGTCAGCTCAATTCATGTGTGTATTGGTGAAGATAACTCTAGCTGCTATAACAAAATGACCCCAACACGTGTAGTGGTACAGACTTGGTAGAAGTTTATCTCTTGTTTACTTAGAGTCTAACATAGATGTTCCTCATTGGTTCCTGACTCTTCTCCATGCAACGTACAGGGATCCAATGTTCTTTCAATTTGTAGCTCTAACACTTCAAAATAATGACCTCCAAATTTTCTATACCTACCTTCCTCAAGCTGAAGGAAAGGGGAACAACATACAGCACCATGGGTGAGAGGCTTAACCGACGAGACCAGAAAGTGATGCATATCATCTCTGCTCACACTATTCAGTCACACAGCTATAATAACCACAGGAAATGTTGGGAAATACAGTCTTCTGTGGGCCCAGGAAAAAAGAGAAAACTGGTCAGGGAAATAACTAGCTGGTTTCTGTCTCAGAGTACCATGGGAAAAAAGGGAAATAAAGTTAGAAATAGAGGCTGAGCTTTCATCACTTGAGCAATGGGAAGACATATGGTGCTGAGACTGAGTGTAGCTTCTGGAGCCAAACTTTGTGGGTGGAAGCTTGGCTTTGCTATTTTCTTGTTGTATGATCTTAGAAATGTTACCTAAAAGCTCTTTTCCTCAGTTTCATCCTTATCTGTAAATTGGGAAACAATGAATCCACTCTCATAGGCTTATTATGAAGGTTGATATTGCAAAGTACTAGAATAGCACCTAGCACCTAGTAGATTCTCAATAAATATTATCCTTTGACAGGTTTTGAACAGAAGGCTTTAATTTCTTACCAATGGCTAAACATATCTACACTCACTGAATTATCAGTCGTACAGGTATTGTAATGCTTTCCAACAGAACCCATGACTTCTAGGTTGACAGACCAAATCTTACCCACAAGTATAATAGCTTCAACACATATTTATTGAACCCTTGCTACATGCCAGGATCTGTGCTAGGCACTGGGGTTATAATTGTGAATGATAATGTGGGGCTTCTGGTCAAATTGCTCCTTTTACTCTTCTACAGATTGCAAGATCTTTGCAACCAATTCCCTGTTTAAATTCCCTCTACTTTAAATGCCTAGAGCTGTTTCTTTTCTCCTGGCTTGACTCTGACTGGTACAGAGGCAATTTTTCTTTTGCATTGATATGTTGGTACCTGCATTTGAAGTCAATTTTAGAGACCAATTATTTCAGGTTTAAAATAGACATTCCTGCCTTACTCCTTTCTTACTCCATTTTTAGCAGATACAAGATTTACTTTCATTAGAGCTGGGGGTTGGGGGTGGGGATAGGAATCCTAAAAGAGTAAAGGCTCAAGGCGTTCCTTATCTACCCCAAGTACTAGAAACACTGAATCAGTAAGTACCATAAATCTTCACTCTGGTACTAAGTCCTGAGTGTTTCCACATAAGAATCCTTACATTTGACACAAAAAGGTTTATTATTGTGGAAGAAACCCCTGGCTGCAGAGTTCCTTTGCCATCCAAGCCATGAGTGATGTATGGTTGAATGGGCAGGCAGTGGGTATAGTCTATGAGACGGTTCCAGAACGACCAGGGCTCTGCTTCCGAAAGTAAAAATGCTCAGCCTCCTACCACTTTCATCTAGGAATTCATTCATTAAACAAATATTTACCAAGTTCTTACAATGTATGGTAGATGAATACATAAAAGCAGTGAATAAAGCATAATAATCTGGACTTTAACTTCTGGCCCTCCTGCTTTCTAGTGCAACCTTTGTGTGCCCCAGATGCATGCCCCACTATTTTCTCTCTTGCTCTAAGCCCTGGAGGACTGACCTTTGTAGACTGCATCACCTGGGGTCCCATTATTGCTGGCTTTGAACAACGGGAGGCACTGGAGATTGGAGGGCAAGAAGAGAAAAAAGTCAAGATACTTATTCCTTACACTCCCTCCCCATTTTTTTCATCATTCTAGCAACAGCTGCACCCTTCTACAACCATAGCTTCTATCTGGCAATTCCTCTTTGATTATTCCAGCCCCTGGCTGCATCCTCATAACCCCATGTAACTTCTTGCCTGAAAGCAGCAAGAAGCACGCATTTCAAAGCCCACTTCAAAGCCAGGACATCATGAATATTAAAAAAAAGAAAAAGGAGGTGGGTAAAAGAAGGCAATTTAGCATTCTCAGGA